GTCAGTATTTCGAATTTACCAATTGCTCCACAGGAGAAAGATGAAGCTTTCTGTTCCTGTAAAGGTTTACAGCCTTGGAAACCCTATACAGGGTCATTACGAGTAGGAACCGACTCAGTGGTACACCAACCACTGATTGCAGAGACATGTTTAAACACATTTTGTTTGAAATAAATCTGTATATATGAACCCTTGTTGTTGTTAAATGCCGTAGAGTCGGTTCCGACTCATAGGGACCCTGTACAGGGTTTCTGAGGCTGTATATCTTTACGGAGCAGAACACCTCATCTTTCTCCTGCGGAACAGCTGGTAGTTTCGAACTGCTGACCTTGAGGTTCACAGCACAATTCGTAACCACTAAGCTATATGAACCCAAGTAGCAAAATATTTTTACTTATCCTCATCATGCTTGGTAACATTTTAATCTTATGCCCTGACAAAAAGAAAAGGTGTCAACGTAAAAATTGTCCAGGAGATAATGATAGCATTTTTAAATCCTTTTAAAGGAAATCTGGAAGAAAAAAAAAAAAAAAAAGGCTTGAAAACTAATGGCTTATAAGCGTTATGTTGATGGAGGGTAATCACATAAATGGATGCCTAATAAAGTTCACATGGAGCACTGGTGTTATGCTGTAGGATAAATACTGCACTGCTAACCACATGGTCAGCGGTTCAAACCCTCCAACTGCTCCTCAGAAACCCTATACAGGGTCATTGTGAGTCGGAACAGACTGAACACACTTAACAACAACAATGTTCACATACAAAACCCAGGAAAGAACAGAAGGAGGAGAACTAGGACAGCAACAACAGATTTGAAAATCCAAGTTTCTGCTGCCATATTAGAATGATCTCTCTTTTTATGATGATGTTGATAACGTTAAGTGTTATCAAGTTGGTTCCAACTCATAGAGCCTATGTATAGGGTTTCTGAGGAGTAGCCAGTGGATTTGAACTGTCGTTTGAAGTCAGAAGATGAAAGTGTAAATACAAAGCCCTCTCTAATATCATGTCCCAAACGCTATAACGGTTCTGTTTGTTTTAGAAGTAGAATGGCCTCTAAACAACCTGTCCTAAAAAAGTAAGACTGTAGCAAAGCTCTTTCTTACTTAGAACTTCTCTTACATGTAAATACTGCACTCACTAATCTTACTTTTGGTGGTGGTTACGTGCCGTGGAGTCGGTTCCAACTCATAGCAACCCTGTACAGGGTTTCCAAGGTTGTAAATCTTTACAGGAGCAGAAAGCCTCATCTTTCTCCTGAAGGACAGCTGGTAGTTTCGAACTGCTGACCTTGAGGTTCACAGCCCGATTTGTAACCACTATGCTACCAGAGCTCCTTAACTTTACTTTTACTACCAAAATTATGTGTGGCTTTCACATATATTTAATTTTTCAAATCTATTTTTATCTTTTTACTGATTTTTTTAAGAGATTTTTGTAGCAGAAGTTCTTAATTCTTTGAACTCTCAAGGGATATTTTTATGAGAACCAAAGCTTTTTGGAGGACAGCATGTCCACAGAATCTTTAGTCCAGTAAACTTAGTTTTAAATCATATCTAAGTATAAGACACAGCTGATGTCTTGGTGTTACACTGCTTTGAGAGAAGACTGTAAGAGATGAGTAAAATACATACCATAAATAGGATAATTTCATAATATAGAAATATATAATGCCTTTCCCACTTATATTTTCATCCCATATCCAAATGTTTTGCACTTTGTCAACCACCCTGTTTGTCTGTACTGCTTACCACTTAAGGAAGATGTTAGAAAGTACTATTGACTATTAGTATTTCTTCTTTGGTGAATTGATGGTTTGCAGTTGATCCTCTTTTTCATCTTTAGCTTTCTTTATAAAAAAATTTTTCTTATTAACCTATAAGATCTGTTTATATTCTGGATATTAAGCCTTTTATTACTATTTATGTAGCAAATATCTTTTCATCATTTGTCACATAAACTTTAACTTAGGTCCTATCTACATTTAACAGATTTTATTCAACAAAATGTATTAGTCTTTTCCTTTAAGATACCCTTTTAGTAAGAGAAATGATCATTTTATTTTTAAAATGATACATCATTTTTCGCCTAACAAACTGGCAAAAATTGAGAAGATTAAAAATAATGGAGAAAAATCAATCAATCAATAAAAAAATACATGGTGCTGTTTTAGGTATGGGAAACAGGTAGTTTTATTTCTGGAGAGAGAGTAAATGGTACATTTGGGGGTAGTAATTCCATAGTATCAGTTAAAATGAAAAATCACTTGATTCCATTGTTATGTATCAATTTTTTGGACTACCTACTTTTGAACCCAAACAAGTTAGTGCAGCATTGTTTGTAAAGTGGCATACCTGTGCTGTTCACTTGGACAGGAGGTCCTCAAAAAATAAGTACCTAAAGCCCAAAATGTCTTGGTATTTCACCCTGTGACAGTTATAGTTTTGTGTCAACTTCAGTAGGCCAGGATTCTCAGTAGTTTGGAAGGTAAAACAGAGTAATCATCAGTGATGAGATCGGCTATGAGCAGCCAGTCCACTGAAGGAAATTCCCTCAGGGTCATGGTCTACTTCCAATTTAATGGATACTGGGGCAAAGCTTGCTTGCTTTTGCTGGGTCTAGATCCAGCATCTGGTGTGTCATCCAATCTCCGATTCTTGTGGCAAGCCAGTGACCTGCTATATTGCCTATTGATTCTGGGAGTTGTCACTAGCTTACCATCTTACCTGCTGATCACGAATTCAATCTGAATCCTGTCATTCAAACTGCCAATCTTTGCGTCATCAGCTCCTGTAGCTACATGAGTCTGGAGAAACCTGACATGTGACCCCCTCACAGACTTGGAATTCACCTGCTTCTACAACTGTGTGAGCCATTTCCTTGATGCAAACATCTATATAGAGAGCATCCAGACTAAGACACACACCTAATTTCTAGGTACACAGCAGGAGGGTCTGAAGCAACGTTTGGCTGCTCTTTCATTGAGTCCTTTTCATCCAGACACAGACATTCCATACAACAGTCCTTGGATAAATAACTATTAGCATCCTGATGGGGGCTGGCTGCCCTCCCCAGCACCCCACCCACCCCCTCAGCAGCCCTTAAATCAGCCTCCAAGGGTTCTGGAATCTATACTAGAGCAAGAATTTTCTATCTGCTTTCCCAAATCTGATTGACTATTACATAGTATGATGTAATATAATAAAATAGAAACACATTCTGACAATATTGCTGTTTTAATGCAGACATATGCATTATAGTGGTCTTTTCATCTTGATATTAATTCAGCTCACAAATACCAATCAGTGAGTTGGGACTGAAACCAACAAATTGGACTTGATGGCACTTAAAAACAGCAAAAGCAGGATATAGCATTGCTTCTTTAAGCAAAACAACGGATTCTCATGTTATTTCTATCATGTCTAAGGGCAAGAAACAAAATCCCAGAGGAAGCATGAACTATTGTTTGGGTTCCCATAATCCTGTCTAGTTTATTTACAATTCCTCTTTCATCCTTCCTGCCTGTCCAGATGGTTTTCTTCTTTGTTTCCCAAACTGAATTATGTTCATGCCTATAAGATGATGAATACTTCACACGCCTTCCTCTTTAGTGCCTCTCATAAATTCTTACCTTTGTCGAATTATGCTGGGATTAGCTGTCACCAGATGACTTTTGGACCCAACATCTCTAGTGTATTCACTTGACAAGGGAGGGAGATTGCATCTAGAAAAACAAGAGTAAACAACTTAGAATAATTTGAATATTTAAAAAATCAAGTCAGTTATAATTATCCAAATAGGAACTTTATTAACACTAGCTCAATTCAGAAATAAATGCTTTTCCACCCTTCCTTTTCATAGACATTAGGTGACTAAATAACCATCAGTTTCTGAAGATACTGTCATAAACTGACACTATTTTAGAAGAAAGAAAATGCTAGCTAGAGAGATAAATGATCTATGAATGGAAAGAGAGAGAAAGTAACTATAATGTATTTATTCAATTCAAAATATTTCTGAAGTAGTAGGACAGGGAATCTTAGTAATATCTGGTACTCTAAAGGACACAGGGCAAGTGGTGTTCTCCGATTATCCATAAATATCAAGACACAAGAAGCAATTTTATTTGTTTGTGATTTTCTTTCTTTTCCCCAAATCTAAATTATAATATTATATTCAAGGCAGGCTCTACCAACTAACTCAAATCAAGTCTGGCTTTTTTTGTGCATGTCTGTACTTGGGTTAATTACTGGTGAATACAAAAAGATCTGTAAACTACAGTGTAATGATTGTCCATCATCTCAGTTCAGCCAAGATAAAGAACACAGGTGATGTTTTCCTGGTGATTCAAACAAACAGCCCTTCTCCCCCTATATCACTTATACTAATTGCTTTCCCTGGTTACAATGTCTTAAGACCATTCAACGAAAAAATATAGCCACAGTAAACCCAAGTTTCATGTCTTTCTGGCTATGACATTAGGCAAAATTAGTTCCTCTTTCTGGCCTCACATTCCCCATTACATAAAATGAGGATAATAACTTTTCCTCTTTTATATGATTGTTGTACTAAAAGCAGCCATCCAAGTCATAAGTGGTCTCTATGCATCTAGATCAACAGAGGACGATGGAGAGTTAGGAATAGGAAGAAGATATAGATTATGTGGCTAATTGCTTCCATGAACAAGTGACTCCTTTACGATGTGACCAATACAACTGGATTGTGACCATTTTGATGAAAAATTCCACAGAAGAATACTGATCAAAAAGGGGAAGGTATAAAATGTAACTTCAAATTCTCATGGATGGTAAATGAACCTCTGAAACTACTGCCCTGAAACAATACTTAAACTTCAACCAAAAATATCCCCTAAAGTCTTCTTAAAATTGAACAACTGTTTAGACAAAAGGTCTGCCTTGAGCAGCATGCTCTTTTAAGAATTTTCTGCAAACGATCAAATAGACAAAAGAAGCTTGAAAGATCAGATAGGAACCCTAGGAGACAGTGAGTTTATGTTAATGAGGAAGGAACAATTCAGAAAAGGAGAGGGAGAACTATTGATTTCCCAACTCAAAGAATGTAATGGATGTCATTAAATTGTGCATATAGAAACTGCTGGATTAATTATTTGCTTTGTACATTCTCAACAACAAAATGAATACAATTAAGAAGAAAAAAGTAATGTATGAAAAGTCCCGGTCACAATGCTTGGGGGTGGTGGTAATGTGCCATGGAGTCGGTTGCAACTCACAGCAACCCTGCATAGAGTTTCCGAGGACGTTAATATTTACAGAAGCAGAAAATCTCATTTTTCTCCAGCGGAACCACTGTTAGTTTCAAACTCCAGACATTGAAGTTAGCAGCCCGATTTGTAACCACTATGCTACCAGAGCTCCTTAGCACATAGCAAAACCTCAAACAATCACATATCAAAAATATATCATATAATAAGTATACATCTATGACTTGTGGAAACTAAAATGAAGTCCATCATTTCCATTAGATTTTCTTTATCATTGCATCTTAATTTCTCCTCCCCACCATATCTCTAACTTAACTCCTACCACATCAGAGGAGCTCAAATTAGTTATTACTTCAGCAAGCCAATGCATTGTCCACTTAGTTTAAAAAAACAAAACAAAAAACTTTCAAATATTAAGGTCTCTGCTAGCTTCTCAACTACTAAATTTTCTTCTACAAATTATCCCCAGGAGACTGAATTGTCCATGCACCCACACAGCTGATCAGCTCAAGTTCCTTGATTTTTTTCATGTATTTACCCTGTGACTCCCACCATAACAGGACATTCTAGGCAGTTGTTTTGGAACTTTGCTTTTATGTGTTCCTTAGTCATAAGATACTGGTGTTCTGGTGTGGTGTTGTAGGATATGCACTGGACTGGAGATTGGTTTGAATTGCAAGATTGACAGTTCAAACTCACCAGCCGCTCCTCAGAAATTCTATGAGTCAGAATTGACTCAACAGAACTTAACAACAATAAGATACTAATCCTCCTGGCAGCAACCCACAGATCAATTAGTCAGCTAGTAAGTGACTTTTGCTAAATGCCCATTGAGAACACACCACTATCAGCATTGTGGGAAGTTCAAGAGAATCTCCAGTGGCAGACCCTGCTATTGAAGTTTCTCAGGTCTAGTGGTCACAGCACGCCCCACGCAGTTTCCTGATAATCCCTGTAAGGGAGCACGCTTACGTATTAACCAGGGTCATCAGATAGCAGTGCTGATTGTGGCCTTGTGATTTTCTTGATCTTTACAGAGATGAAAAAGGCTTCCTAGATAAAACACATGTTAGAATTCAGACATTCATTTATTAAATAAGCTTTGATCTTGATGGTCCTTGGTAACATTTGAGAATCAACTATGCTATCTTAAAACTGGAAATGTTGCTGCCAACCCAGTTTTTCATTATTAAATGGAACCTGTCTGCTTTCATGAGTGGACACTTTGTTTCTCTGTGTGTTCCTTGTGGGTAGGCCTGTGTCTCATATGTCTGTCTTCAGTCATATCACCTACCACAGAGTGAAAGTTCAAGAAAAAGTTTCAGACAATGATTGCTATTGCTACAAATAAAAATGTTTAAAACAATAGAGATAACATTTTGTAAATGTTTTTCTGGAAAATGACATACATTTTTGGTATAAATATTGCCCATAAGTTCTGAATAACCGTTCACTTCAAGTCCAAGTGTCTGTGATACTTCCCTGTAGGTCTTTTCTCAAAAAAAAAAAAGCATGGTATAATTTTAGCTCCTGAACTCCTAAATTGATAATTACATGGATTTACATAAAAGGCTAATGCAGTGAAACTGTTTCTAATACGGTATAATTGTGTAAAAGCGTTTTAAACTTTGCTGTATAGAATGTTGGCACAATTAAAAGATATTAATGGCTAAAATATCTTAGTAACTGTGCTCACGATCCTAAAAGAGAAGTGATAGCAGCATTTATGAAAAAGCAATATTGTTTAAATTAGGATGTGGAGGTGGGTTTGAAATGGGATTGGTGGAAAGGAATCTTTAAACAGAAAAACTGCACACTTAAAATTTTACTTATATTTAAGTATGTAAAGTATGCCATTGGTACCCAAATAATATCGCCCTCCCTGTGTCCCTGAGGTACCCAGTTCTTCTCCAAGATATAGTTACTTCATTCATACAGACTTTCCAAATAAATCCTATTCAATAATGTAGCTTTTTAAAGTGTTGCTTTGGGCTATGATGCAAACATTAACTTCAAAAAGTGTAAAACTGATTTTCAGCTTTAAAAGATGTGTGTGGAAATGTCTAAAAACTAAAGTGATGGCATTGTTAGATCCTGTCCTGTAAGGTATGTGGAATCTAATCTTCTGTTTCAATGTGTACCAAACCAAGCTAAACCCACTGCTGTGTTGTCGATGCTTACTCATAGCAAACCTCGAGTACACAGCAGAAATGGTCTATAGGATTCCCGTCACTGTAAATTTTTACAGAGGCAGGTAGCTTCATCTTTTGCCCTCAGAGCAGCTGATGGATTTGAACTGCCAACAATTCAGTTAGCAGTTCAGTGCTTAACCCATAGCACCACCAGAGCTCCTTATCAATGTGTACAAGTAAGGCTATTTTGAGGCCTCCTTTCTCATTGTATCTGTCTATGCACCCTAGGGTCAGGCATTCTGCCTACTTTTTAATTACAGTTATTCACTAAAATGTTTAAAACTGAATGTATGAATTCTATCTCAGTTTTCTAAAAGTGGCAACAAAATGTGAATTAAGCAACCATTTATAAATAGATCCATGCCTAATTTATAAGCAATGTATTAACACCTATTGACATTTACTTTAAAGCATAAGTAAGCATTATTTTTTCAAAATTCAAATGTACTCTTAAGTGGTGCTATTCTTGAAATGAAATCAAAGGCACATTCATACATCTCTAATTAAGACAGTACCTTCTCTGAATTCTTTTCAGTCCTCACCTCCTCCTATCATTCCATGAGCATCAAGTTTAATACTGTGTCACATACCTATTATTCACAGGCATTCCAGATTTAATTAATTCCAAACTTGAATATTATCTCAATGCCAGATTGCATAGAATGCAAAATTTACATTTGTTTATTTGCAGTACGGGCCCTATTGGATAATCCCTGAAGTGCTTAAACCTTGTCTTCTACATGCTAAATTTAAAACATCCATTTTCCTAACTGTACTGACACACACATGCTGTTGTTGCTGTCAGCTGCAGTGCAGTCAATTCCAACTGGCAACCTTGTTGCAAAATACAATTTCTCCATTGGGTTTCCAAGGAACAGATTTTTGGGTTTCCTTTCAGGAACAGATCCTAGGCAAGTTTCCCTTGTCTTCCAAGGTGATCTCACAGATCCTAGGCAAGTCTCCCTTGTCTTCCAAGGTGAAACTGGGTGGGTTTAGTGCAAACCAGTTGTGCACCTAGGGACTCTATATACATAAACACATTCACAATTAATATAAAAATACATTTATTGTACTGCCTTCTGTATTTCATTAAAATCACTTGATGTTTAAATCATTTAAATTCTCTACATCTATAAGTATATTATTCTTCCTTTCTTACATCAGTTTAGAGAAGAACTAATAAATTTAAAATAAAATACATGAAATACATTACAATTCTACAGTGCTCAAAGAATCATTTCACAAGGGAAAAGGCCTGAAGAATTGTATACTCCAATCTCCTCATATGGACTAAAAACTGAGCCTCAGCAAAGGTAAAATGGTATGTCAGTCACTGATCTGTTTAGTAACAAAGGCTTGTCCTTCTACCTCTATTTTATTTGCTGGCTCCTGAGCCTGTACTTAATGCCAAAATATTGTAGTAGGTGTCTGAGTTTTACCTGAGCCTCTGCTCTTCAAACCTACCCACTCTTCTCAGGTGACTGGATCTACTGTTGTGCCTTATATGGCCAGGTCTGGGTGGTGGTGGTGGTTAAGTGTCATGGAGTCGGTTCTGACTCATAGCGACTCTGTACAGGCTTTCCTAGGCTGTAAATCTTTACGGGAGCAGAATGCCTCCTCTTTCTCCTGTGGAACAGCTGGTAGTTTCAAACTGCTGACCTTAAGGTTCGCAGCCTGATTCATAACCACTACGCTATCAGAGCTCCTTATGTTTGGGTAGCACAAAAAATTAATTGCTTGACTACTAACTGAAAACTTGGTGGTTCACACACCCAGAAGTGCCTCAGAGGAAGGGTCACGGCCTTGAAAACCTTAAGGGTCACAGTGCTACTCTGTAATACATGAAGTGTCCAGGAGTCAGAATCTACTCAATGGCAATTGGGTTTTTTTATTTGGTATGGAGTCCTGGTGTTTCACTGTGGGTTAATGCGCAGGACTGCAAGGTTGTTTGAACCGTAACATCGGCAGTTCAAGCTTACCAGCCCCTTCTTGGAAGCCCTATACAGGGTCATTATGGGTCAAAACCGACTCAATGACATTTAACAACAACATATATATCCCTGTAGCACTATCTCAAGACACCCTTACCCCAATGCTCATGACACTAACATACTTGGTTTCTTTCCTACAGTAGGAAAATATTGGTCCTCTGCCTAAAGAGGAAAGCAGAGGAGGCACATCTTAGATCCACTTTGCCTCATAAGTTCCCTCATCTTTCTACCCTTTGTCTCTGAGTCATCCGTAGCACACCTCTACATTATAAGTCCCTGATGTAGAGTAGGTTCCGACTCATGGTGACCTTTTATAGGGTTTCCAAAGAATGTTTGGTAGGTTTGAACTACTGACTTTGTAGTTAGCTGTCCTACAGTGTCACACCAGAATACATTTAAAAAAATGGATGGTGTATTGACTTGAATTCAAAAACTTGTGTTTTCATTTTCTCTCTTTTCTCATTGTTTTTATATATAGCACAGAAAAAAATTTAATCCAGTGGAGAAGAAAACATAATCCTATACAGCAAAAAAAAAAAAAAAAAAACTATGTTAGTTCACCTCTGTGAAAGAAAGAAAGGCAGAATGGTTCCTCATTTTGCCACAGGCGCCACCAAATGATATGAAATGTCTTTCTAGGAGCCCAACCATCATCCTCCGAGAAGGAGCTTGGCTCTTCCACAAGACCATGGCTTCTCCTAAAACCCTCTCATATAGTCTTTACACTTCCCCTAAAACCCTATCAAATAGTCTGTACCCTTCTCAATCCAACTTATCTCAGACATGGTTTCGTGTCCTCTTAGCTAGCTACCTTTGCCTTTTCCAGACATATTTCTTTGTCCTTGAAAATAAATACAAAACACAACCCCTTCCTTCTTTGCTCTGCTTTATACCCTCTGGATTGCTGTCGTCATTGGGCTTCTAGACCACTGAGACTTTTGATACCTGGTTCATAGTCATTCCCACTTCAGTGAGACTTTAGGGTCCAACTGGAAGACCCCAAGCCTCACCTCTAAGTTCCTTCAGTTCTTCAATAACAGATGTCTTCATGGTTTTCAGTACATCTGATCACCCCCCAGATAAGATCAAGTGCTGAAATCGTATGCTCTCGTGGACTAGCCTTTGATTTGATTTTTTTTTTTTTTACTTGTAAATTAGTAAACCAATTGCAAGTGGGAGTAATGCTTGACTTTAGCTTTTTATGTATGCCATCTCCTTCTCATCTGTACCACCATTTCCCCAGGTTTTAAATAACCCAGCATTTGGCCCCTTCCTTTCTCCATCACACCTCTCCAAATCCACTTCTCATCCAACTCAGACACCAAAGTGTACTGCTTCATAAATTATCTTTCCAGAACACTCTGTGTTGCAATTCCCCATGCTTCCAGCTCATTCAGCTAATCCCTAACTATCAATCTATTCCTTGGCTTTCTTTACTTTTACACCTGACTTCTAAGCATGTCTGTTCCAAATTGACAATGGGTACATTGTGATGTCATTGTAATTTGATGAGTACTTGTGTGGTGCTGTAGGATTAGCACTGGACTGTTAACTACAACATCAGCAACTACAACTACATCAAGTTAACTACAACTCAGCAACATCAAAAACCTGAGTTAGGAGTATCTGAGTGGTAAAATGGTTCACACACTGCACCAGTAACCTAAAGGTCAGAGGGTCAAGTCCCACCCAGAGGCTCTTTGGAATACACCTAGTGGATCTACTTTCCAAAAATCAGTCATTGAAAACTCTGTGGCACACAGTTTTACTCCACCACACCTGGGGTCTCTGTGAGTTGGAGTTGACTGAGAAACTAATGAACTTGGGCTGGGTGTATCTCAGCAATTCCTTTATATGCCCCTGCAGGGCTGCCTCCTGTTTCTCACAGGTACTGAGATACATGTTAATTTGCTCAGTCTCCCATCAAGTTTCTTCTTGGTTTACCATTTAACTTCTCTTGCAATGTTCCTAGTCATTCAAAGACCAAATTCATCTTCAAAATCCATTTGCTACTTAGAAATATTTTTATAAAATATTAAGAAAAGAATATAGAATCAATCAAATAAATTATCATTTTCTTCATAGGAATTAGCTTTAACTAATGAATAATTTAAAGTGTTTTAAGAATCCAACTGTATAGTGTAAAATAAAGTCTGATTTTCTCTACTTTTTCATGGTGCCTTTATCCACATCAGACTGAGGCTATCTTTGAGCCCTGCTTGGCTTTGAACTTTCTTGGGACACGTTCCCTGGATCTCCTTACCACTCTCTTAAATTCTACTGTATATAGGACTTGAAGAAAAGCTAAAAAGCATGGCACAACTGATTAATCACAAGTGACTACTTTTGAAAGGCCCCAGGGATTATGGAAGGAGTAGAGAAAAGAGAGAAGTTAGAGGCCGCGCTGTGGGTGCTCTCTCTTACCGCATGACAAAATTTGCTTCATCTATTTGACGGCCACAGCCACTGGTCTTCAGAATCCCACCATTTCCCACCACCGCACAAGTCTTCAGGGGCAGCTGGAATGGGGTTGCCTAGCAACAGAAAACAAGGCGGGTTTTCACTGCAGAGAACACACAACGGCTCACAAAATCATTGTTTACAACAGTCCCTTTGGAGGAATTTGATTGAAAACGAAGCAGTGTGAATAGATTATGTGGAAAGAAAAATGCCAAGAAGTTTATAAAGAAAGAAACTAGCCTGTTCCTTTGGAAACATTTTTTTCTCTGAAATGTATTTAAATATAACAATACTTTTTTTGTTCCAAATTGGCCATGCACATAGTAAAAGGTGTCTGTTTGTTGGGAAAAAATAGAAAAATCCAAAATAAGCACAGGATTGTTTTTAAAGGCATTAAACTGGTAACAAACTCAACTAAATTTTATTCCCCTCTTTGAATGCAATTTCATTCATTCTTACAATCATCCATTCACTCAACAGATGTTTCTGAGCATTTGCTAGACTCAGGGTTAGAAATACAAAAATACAGAGGTCTCAGGCCTCAGCATTCAAAATTTGGGGTGTGAACTGCAAGAGGAGTGAGAGAATGTGAACATATATATTTATGTAACAAGTCCTGTTGTCATGCTGAAATTTCTGTAGAAGTATGCACCAAATGCTATGGGAATCCCATAGTAGGGGGAGAAGACATTTCTGGCAAGTAAACTGCTTTCACATTTGAGCTGCTTCTTAAAAGCTGAGTTAGATTTTGCCAAGCAGAGAAAGCAGCATTAACAGAGACACAAAAGTCACAGAGCAAACGCTGTGCTTACGAGCAAATGAACCCTTTAAATAGGTCTGTTTAGAACTTGTTGTTATTAAGTGCTGTCAAGTCAGTTCCAACAAATAACACCTTGTCTGGGGTTTTCTGAGGAGTGTCTGGTAGGTTTAAACTGATGACCTTGTGGTTCAAACTGACCTTAAGGTCCAGTGCTTATCCTACAGCACACCAGGACTCTGTTTAGAACTTAAAGAGGCACTAAGAGACAAGTGATTTGTGCTGAACCAGACAACATGTGACTTTCTTTCTGCAAACTGGACTGCAAAAAAGAAAGAAAAAAATTTTCCAGTGTATTTGAGCATTCCCTGGAATGTTATTTATAGCTTCGGGGTATATGGCAACCCAGCATTAGTCTCTGCAAATGAAATGCATCATTCAGTCTCTTCTGGCTGGGTCAGCAAGAATCCCCAGGTACAGAATTTTCTGTACGCTGAAACTATGCACACAGCAACTCGAGTTTCTTAGGGGTGGGGGAACCTTCCATATATAAAACCATATGTGTGTGTGTGTGTATATACATATATATATATATATATATATATATAGAGAGAGAGAGAGAGAGAGAGAGAGAGAGAGAGAGAGAGAGTCCTAATGTGGCACTGTAGGATCAGTTTGAACTACAAGGTTGGTTTGAACCACAAGGTCTGCAGTTCAAACTCACCAGCCTCTCTTCAGAACCCTATACAGGGTTGCTATGAGTCAGAACCTACTCAACAATAACAACAACATAAAAGTCAATTGAGAGATTCCCTAAACATTTGTTAAAGAGAGGTTCTTGAACTAGATGGATTGGCATTTATAAGTTTCCGGGCAAGAATTTCGACCCAGAACCTGCAGACATGGGAAATAGCAGCAGCTGCAACAACAGCAACACAGAGCTGGGCACAAACACCAATTGTGGGATTGTGAGGCACACTGCCAAATAACTCTGGGTCTCGATTTTTATCTTTAAAAAGGAGATACTACTAGTGCACAGGATTAAATGTGGTTTATGAGGATTACATGAGAATTAGGTGCATGTGAAGAATCTACCCAAGTCACTGGCATTAATGGCCAAGTCATATTCCTTAACTTCTTTCATTCCTTTCCTCCTAGCAACATTCACTGGTCTGAGTCATGCAATGCCTAGATTGCATGGGGTTTTGTTGAGCAGAATCAAACAGTGATTTATCTAACTCCATCTTAACAACTAGGAATGATTTTATTAGCAGAAAATGTAACTAGATACCTCTGAAAGCACTATTTACAGTCAACACTGTTAATTACCATAAATCAGGAATTGTTTTAGTTTGAGTTTGCCTGGAGGGCAGAAGGTAGGCTGAGGTAGAAGGTGAGAAAGGTGCCTTTAAGGTATGTTAACAATTTACAAATTAGCACCATGCATTGTTGTAAAGTCAGAATCTGACAATAAAAACTGTTCCTACAAAGCAGGATGAGAGATTAGGAAGCAGTCTGTAATAATTCTTGTTTTCAAGTTATAACAGAGTTGTTGTTGTCAAGTGTGATTGAGCCACTCATTGAGACCCTGTATAGGGTTCCTAAGGAGTCAGTAGTAGATTTGAACCACTAATCTTGTGGCTAGCAGTCCAGGTTTTCTGAGGAGCAGCTGGTGAGTTTGAACCACTGACTCTGCAATTCAAATGCTTTGCAGTCTGTCTCATTAACCCACAGCACCACATCAGGACTCCAGTTATAGCCTCTGGTGGTGGTGGTAGTTATATGCTGTGGAGTCGATTCTGACTCATAGTGAACCTGCACAGGGTTTCCTAGGCTGTAAATCTTTACAGGAGCAGAAAGCCTCATCTTTCTCCCATAGAACAGCTGGTAGTTTCGAACTGCTGACCTTAAGGTTCGCAGCTGGATTCATAACCCCTACGCAGTTATAGTCTATGTTGCTGTTGTTGTCAAGTGCCATCGAGTCGGTTCTGACCCATAGGGACCCGGTATAGGGTTTCCTAGGAGTAGCTGGTGAGCTTGAACCACTGACCTTGCAGTTCAAACGGCTTTGCAGTCTGATGCATTAGCCCACAGCACCACACCAGGACTCTGAGGGTAAATCAAAAGGCATTACTACAAAATCAAATGAGCCTTATTAAACAAAAATATAATAATGTGAGGCTATTATTTTTTCATATGCCCTCTACTTAGGTCTATACACTTCTGAAAACAGTGATTCCATCTTTCTAACCCTTGTACAGTAGTCTTGGTGGGACATTGTAGGATCAGCATTCTACTCAACAGCTGTTCAAACTCAATAGCCATTCCTTGGAAACTCTATACAGGGTTGCTATGAGTCAGGACAGACTCGACAGCACTTAACAACAACATCGATTTACAGGAGTCCCGGTATGGCACTGTAGGATAGGAACTGAACCTCAAGGTCAGTTTGAACTGCAAGGCTGGCAGTTCAAACCTACCAATCACTCCTTGGAGCCTCTATATAGGGTTGATGCGAGTTGTAACCAACTAGACAGCGCTTAACAAAACAACAACCCTTTCACATGAGGATGGTGCAAGACTGAGAAGTGTTTTGTTCTATTGTGCATAGGGTTGCTATGAGTTGGAACCCAACACCATGGCACCTAACAAAGCAACCCTTCTCTGAAGAATTCTGCATGTTTTATACACCACATCAAAATGATAGTTTCGGCATCCCTGAGGGACTTGAATTGTGTTTCTTTTAAAAGTTCTTTGAGTTTGAGAAACAAACAGAAGTCTAGGGAGCAAGATTAGGGTTGTAGGGTGTTTGTTGTTGTTGTTGTTATGTGCCGTGGAGTCGGTTCCGACTCATAGCGACCCTGCACAGGGTTTCCGAGGCTGTTAATCTTTACGGGAGCAGAACGCCTCATCTTTCTCCCGCGGAACCGCTGGTAGTTTCGAACTGCTGACCTTATGGTTCGCAGCCCAATTCGTAACCACTACGCTACCAGAGTAGGGTGTTTAGAGTAATGAAATTCTGTAGGACAGTCCTTGCTGCTCAAAGAATGAGCATTGTTGTACTGACAAACAAAAACAAACAAACAAAAAAACACTCAGTGCAACATTCTTTTTTCTCACAGATGCAGTTTTTCTATTTTTTGAAAAATTCTTCGTATTAAGTCTCTGGGGTTGTCCTGTGTCCTTTGAGAAAATACATCAATATTACCTTTTTAGGATTAAAAAATAAATTAAAAGTAAAACCAGTTTCCATAAATTTCTGAGATGACCTCTCTACCCTGAATTTATCTGGTCTCACAGATCTCCTCAGAAGCCACTGTTTTGATTGGGCCTTTTTTTTTTTTTTTTAAAGCACCCTAATAAGACTAGGACAACTGTATTACTGAGCCAATTTATATGCAGACATCCATTGAAGGTTTTGGTGTTGTTAGGTGTCTTTGAATTGGTTCAGACTCTTAGCAACACTATGCAAAACAGAAGGAAACACTGCCATTCTCACAAATGATGTGATGTTTGAGACCATTGCTGCTGCCACCGTGTCAATACATCTCTTTGCAGTTCTTCCTCTACTTCACTGACCCTCCACTTTAACTAGCATGATGTCCTCTCCAGAGACTAATCATCCTGATGTCCAAAACATGAGAGAGAAAATCTTGCCAGCCTTGCTTCTAAGGAGCATTCTGGCTGTATTTCTTCCAAGACAGATTTGTTTGTTTTGGTACTCCCCCAACCAAACCTCAAATCTACTTGAATTTTGTAGACTCTACATTCAACACTCACTTGCCTACCTGCTTGAATTACCTTCTTCCTTTTTCATAGTATGGCCTAACTACATTAGAATAAACTAGAATGTATGTTTAAAAGGCATATTCTTGTATTATTTGGTTAGCATACAGATAGAATAAGTGTGGTGAAAGAATACAACCATGAGGCTCTCCTTTCCTGATTTTAAACCATTCAATATCCCCTTGTTCTGTTCTAATGACTGCCTCTTGGTCTATGGACAGGTTCCTCATGAGCACAATCAAGTGTTCTGAGTACCAATTCTTCACAATGTTATCCATAGTTGGTTATGATCCACATAGTCAAATGCCTTTGCACAGTCAATAAAGCACAAATAAACTTCCTTCTGGTGCTCTCTGCTTTCAGTCATGATCTATCTGATGTCAACAATAATATCCCTCATTCCATATTTCTTCTTGAATTTCTGACAGTTCACTGTAGGTGTAATGTTACAACCATTTTTTAAATTATCTTCAGCCAAATTTTACTTGCATGTAATATTAATGATATTGTTTGATGATTTCTGAATTCTGT